TTTAAAGATTTTAAAATTTTTTTTTATTCCCACAATAATATCCGTATATGGCAATTGGAATTGCATAAATGTTTTTTGGTATAACAATAAAAACCTATAAAACTGTACAGTACTTATAAGAAATATTTTCTTAGATTAGATTGTATACAAATTTTACGAAATTGAATCTTAAACCAATTAAATTATATTATAATAAGATTTATATACAAAACGCAGAATATATCTATAAGAGATTGAATCTTATATTATTTTTAAATAAATATAAAAATCAACATTTTTGTAAGTCATATATAAACTGCACTCAACTGTATCATATATAACTCCTTTCAGAGAATTACGAATTTGATATCAATGTTATTTAAATCTTTTTCTCCTCAAGAGTAACAAACATCTGATCCAGTTCACATTTGCTAAACTGCTATATTTGCCCTACATTAATTTCTGGGGTTACAGAAAATATAATTATTTTTCCTTTAAAATATATTATCTTTTAATCCTCTCAAAAATAAACTTCAATATTATTTAATAAAAAAATTCGCACCTTTTAAAGACAATGTATATATACATATATCATATTGTATGATTTACAGAAGACATTCTCAAATTTAAAGGCAGAATGTATAAGACATAATCTGTAATAACAAACAATAGACTTCCTTTTTTATAAGAAAAAATGGGTAAATGCAAAATATTAGAAAAAAAAAAATTTTTTTAAATATACGACAATTAGGAAATTTCTTCCGAAACATTAGGTCAGTCAATTGAACTTTGGCAAATCTAATAAACAAAAGAAAATATATTTAAAGAAAATATAAAAATTCCGAAAAAAAGACAGATGATTGAATTTGTACCCAAATTATAATTGGCAGCTTTACATATTGTGGCACACTTTAAAATTGACCAAAGACTATATTTAATCATCGTCGTTACAAAAGACAGGGCCTTCAGGAATACTGGTTTTTCAATTGAAGAACATAAAAGAATTACGGTATTGCATATATGAAGTATATAGAGGGATAGCAAAAAGGTTATTATGCAATAAAATTAATTGAGTGAAATATAACGGCTGTGATTTAAAATGATATCTTTTTTACTATAAGAATACAATCACCCTTAGGATGGCACATTTTCACACATTATATTGTAACGCCCTATATAAAGTTACTTGCTCAAATTAATGACAACTTGAACATTTTTGGACAAATTGAGTTTTGAATTGTGTAGATACTGGTAAACTAAAACATTTTTCATATTTATTTGCAATTTTTCTGACAGAAATAAATTTTTTTTTCAATTTATGAACAAATATTGCTATGGTTTCAAGTGTGGGAAAAATGTGTTATTTTCTTATTGCAATCAACAACTAAAGCAACGTTATAATTGACTTTATATATGTATAACTGAACTATATTATATTATATATCTTACATTTGGAATAAATAAAATTGTATATACAAATTTCTTTAAACACAAGTTAAAACGATTTTATGACAATAACTGAAATTTGTTGCTTTGAACACTATTTTTAACACTTGAGCATAATTATTGATACCAGTACTGTTTAATATACATTTTTAAAATTGTTCATTTATTTTATCTTAAATAAAATTTGTTTTTGTTGGCCCACATCAATTTAATAAGTATATATATACTTACAATATTCTCTACATTTGACGAAGACTCTCTTCATACGAAACCTCCTCGAAGTCTTCATATACAGTTATTAAAAATTCTTTATACCGAAATATATTTTAAATCAGGAATTAACATTATATTTTTGCTGATTTAATAGACAATCAGGCGTTTCAGAGTGACAGAGGATGAAGGAAATATATAATTGCTGTCAATCGAAAAGGATCAGAGAGAAAAAACGGAAATCACTTTATGAAAAAGGTTTTCTGAATAACACAGTAATACCTTAATCTAGATCACATGGACAACAGTACTACCTTCTTCTAAAACACATAGACAACAGTAATACCGTAATCTAGATCAGCAGTTAATGAAAACTAACTCGTAGTTTCTGATCAAGCTTCAGAAAATCAGCTATATAGACACTGTCAAAGAGTGAACTTGATAACCTAATAAAAATTAAATTTTAACTTGATATATACTTCTATATCCAAAAAATAGTTAAATAAACATTATTCCATCCTTTTAGACAAAATAACTATTTTCGAAAAACGGTGTAAAGCAAATGAAATCCTTTACATCATTTACTAAAGAAATTGAATGAGAAATCAATGGTAATGAAGAATTGATAAAGACAAGTTTTATAACGTTAGATATAAGACTGCAGCTCCATTTCATTAAGTTAAACAATATCACCCCTAAGTTTAAGATTATAGAAAAACAAAAATAACTTATATTTATTTTTAGTCGTAGTTAGTATTTATAGTATTTATTTATTATTATGAGATATGTTTACTATAGCACACTTTCTGATTGCGTATTTTATAATCGCATGAATGAACGATTTTTTCTAGATCGATCTTTTAGGAGCATACGCACAATGCGTTTAAATGACTTTGGATATTAGACATAAAAGAGACACGTCATTAACATATTGCAAGTCACCTCTATTGGTAAATGCCACTAATTAAATACCGTGTCGGTTTTCCAATAATTATTCTATACCTCGTCAGACACTGGAATAAACAACAAATGTGGTAAAGTAGTTCAATATATTAAACAACACAGTGAAAGTTATTTTATTGTCCTTAATCTTTAATTTTTATTGCCATTAATAATTTTATTATTATTTTATTTATATTTATACTATTATTATCATAATAAAATAAAATGATGAATTATATTTATTGTGATGGTCATGGTTATATTTATTTTTTTGAGATCGATAAATAAATATAAGTTATATAGCTAACTTTAAATAATTGATTATTGTTATATAATCAATGAAATTATATGTTTTTATTTTCTTATAAAATTAATTTTTTTTCTTTGATCATAAACTGACTATTAATATAATTATATTAATAATTTTATTCACGCTTAACATTTGTTTAGATACAATACCTAATTTATGAATAATATTAAATTTATTAATTTTAAAAATTAATTAAGATTACAAATATAAAAAAAAATATAACACATTTATATTTTCATATTATTTTAATTTCATTTTTTTATAACTTTTTGTACTTTTTATTATTTTTTTAAAACATTATTTTTTGTACTTTTTATTATTTTTTTATGATATTAATTTTGATATTTTTTTTATAAAATCAATTTTATTTTTTTGGGTAAATTTATTTTATTTTCTTTTATAAAACTAATTTTATTTTCTTTTGTAAAACTAATTTTAGTTTTTTTTTATAAAATTAATTTTATTTTTTTTTTATAAAATTAATTTTGTTTTTTTTTTTTGATAAAATTAATTTTGTAATTTTTTTTTTAAAACTAATTTGGTTATTTTCTTTTATAAAATTATTTTGTTTTTTTTTTATTAAAATTAATTTTGTTTATTGTTGTAAAAAACTAATTTTCTTTTATAAAATTAATTTTGTTAATTTTTTTTATAAAATTCTGTTAATTTTGTTTAAAAAACTATTTTTGTTATCTCTTTTATTAATTAATTATTGTTTTTAATACATTATAATTATTTTTAAATATATAATTATTTTTTTAAAAAATTGTTGTATTACTAATTTTTATCAAGTATAACATTTGTTTAGATACAATATTTCAAGGTATTTCTTCTGGCAGAATTACATATTATATAATGGATGTTCGATTTATTAACTTTTAGAATTAATAAAAGTCGCAAATTAAAAAGAAAATATTATAACGCATTTATGTATTTATATTAGTTATAACTTTCTTCTTTTTAAATATATTTTTTTTTACTTTTTCATTTTTATTATAAGTTTTAATATTTCTTATTATTTTTAATATTTGTTATTATGCATTTTTATTATTATTCATTTTATTATTTTTAATTTTTCTTAATTTTTTTAATTTTCAATTTTTTTCATATTTTTTTTATTACCAAACTTTTTCATTTTTTTTAGTAAATATACAATATTGCTATTGTTTCTTATGACTGTATGTAAAATAACTTTTATGTTGCTAAAAATATATATACACCATACTATATAGATATTGTAAATTTGTATTTGATATTGAATCAACAAATTACCTTGATAAAAAAAAACAATATC